ATATATATATATATATATATATATATATATATATATATATATATATATATATATATATATATATATATATATATATATATATATATATATATATAAGATATATATATATATACATATATATATATATATATATATCTTTTTATATATTTAGTTTATATATACTTGATATTTATTTACTAGTAATAACTATTGGCATAAAACTGATAGGAGTTTTTATCTAAAATTACAAATCAAAAGTGAGACTTTTTTTTAATGAAATCTAACTTTCAAAGTATTAATGCCTGTTATTAAAACCTGTCATATAAAACAATTTTTTAATAATTTTCTCTACTTTTACTCTACAACACTTTTAATATAAGTTGATTATTGTCAATAGGCTTTTTACTGGGGTTTTATTATTTGTTTGAAAAATTTTATGCTTTTTTTGTTTGAATGTGTTTTTCTCAGATCTCTTAAATTCACGACTTTGCGGTGAATATCTCAAGAGTTTCTAAATCAATTTCCATGACATTTTCAGAAGTTTTTCCTTTTGTTGTTATGGATGTCCCTTAACACATTTATGACAATACGATAATCCAATTCAAAGATATTAAATCCCAAATATGGTCAAAAATGCCTTATTTTTTGATCTTTAAGTGTTTTTCTTATTAAAAAAAAAATCTGTAGAGTAAATTTTCTTGAATTTGGTACAGAATCTTTTTTATTGTATTAAAAGTAAATTTAAAAAATTTCAAGTTAATAGCTTCAATAGTTTTTGAAATAATCACCGCAACGAAATGATGATATTTTTGGGTTTCTGGGACCAAATTTCTGAAATTAAAAAATTTTTGACTATTTTTTTTTTAATTTCGTCATTCAAAAGTAAATTTTAGTCAATTTAGATGTAAATAATATCTAAAATGTAATTTTTGAAAGATTTGATTAAATTAGTGGTCTACCACCTTAATACAATACAGATTATTTTTCATTCCTTTAAAACATGCCAAAGTGGTTAAAGTGCTTCGCATGGGTTCTAATCTTTTCGTTTACACTGAATTATTTAAAAATCTTTTATAATTTCGTAGAATACAAAATAAAACATTTTTAAAAGCCTATAGATATATGTATAACATATATCAAGATATTATATGCTATAATAAATGAAAGGGAGAGAATTTTTTACAAAGCTTTTTAAAATTATTATAAACATGATTAGACCGTTAAAAATTTGTTGAACATTTGTCAAGGTACTTAAGTTGTTAATGTGTTTACTTGATTGGTTAAGTCTGTGCATTAAAGGGACAATTTTATTTCTTATAGAAAAATATTTTCATGCCCTGTTAATTTTAAAGAAAAAATGATTTTTCTTTAAAATTAAAACGTCAAGAGTCATAATAAGCTGCAGATTCAAAAAAAAAATTAAAAACCTATTAAAGAAAAAAATTACCACTGCCCCGTTTTTTTTTTTTTTTTTATATTATAGAAATTCATTGAACATTTATGATTTTATCAAAACAAAGATTTTTATATTTATCATGACCAGTATTAAACTGTTCATGGTAAGTCTGTTGTTCCACATATTTAACTCATATTTTTTAAAACTATTTACAATAGATTTTTTTTTTTATGGCTCAAAAATGAAAACAATGAGTTAAGTTTTCTCATAGTTATTTTCCTACCTTTTAATCAAATATATTGAGGTAAATCAAATATATTGAGGTAATATATAAAAAAGGTCGGTTTGGAATACATTTGCAAGACCCATATTTTACGGGTCACAACAACAAAAATTAAAAATAAAGCTGATGATTTGAAGCTGATGATTTGAACTTGCCACGCGGCGACCTTAAGTTTTTCAAAACAGTACGGGGGTTAAAAAAGTATGTTTTTTATAAAAGTATAATTAAAAAAATTTTAATTTTATATTTAAATAAAACCATTTTATTAAACTGATTACTTAATAATTAAAAGTTAAAGTTTAACTTTTATATTTAGTAATAATATTGAAATTTAGAGTTATACAGCTATTAAATCACGCTCCAGTTAAACATACAAAACCGAGCGCGCAATGACAACACACTTTAGATAACCATTAAAATAGTATTATATTATTTTTTGGCTTTATATACTTTTTGGCTTATCCTTTATCTAAACTTTAAAATAAGGAATCGTCCATAAATTACTCAACGCTAAATTTCACAATTGAAGAAAACAAAAATGATCTAATTTTCCTGGCAGAGTTATATAAAAAGTCTATAGAGCTCATTAAGTTTAATGAAAATCGTCATCCTAAAGAACTAAAAGTCTCTTCTACTTTTTGAAAAATAAGTTTAGCGTTGCCTAATTTGTGGGCAATTCCATAGCGTTTTATAGTTTATCTACTTTTTTGCTCTTAAAGTAGTTTTTCAGAACAAAATTATTTTACTTAAAAGTATTGAAGTAAATAAGGAATAGGTATAGAAACAATCGGTCTGGAATAGGTATGTATAGAAATAGTAGGTTCGGTTAAGACCCGTATTTT